GCACATTTAGGTATGCTCAGTGGAAACCAAAATTTACTTCTAATAGGAAATAGTTATTATGAATTTTAAAAGGCTTACAACTAAAAAACTGAAAATAGAGGTCTTTTATTTCAACTTTTACAAGATGGGTTCAAGAAAGTTCTATTTAGTGGATCTTTCATTGAGGGGATGTGTCCACCTTTTATGGGATATATCTAGTTTTGTTTTTGCATGTAAAATACTTCGTGTAAAGATAAAATACTCAGAAACTATAAAATAAAGTGATTTTTTAATAGATTTAGACATGTACGTATTTTTCTTCCGTTCAATCAACGGTACAAATTATACGATAATATACATGTTATGTGCAACCTACTACAATATACGAAAGTTCGGGCGTATACCGAAAGACCTTTCACATCTTGTGGAGCTCGTCTAGTTGTATTCGACTTTGTAAATCGAGGTTCGGGAAGTGTTGCATGTCTCTTCCAGCGTCATTTCTAACATTTTCAGCTATTTTTGAGGATCACCTAACATATTTTTCAATCAATCCTCGCTTCTAAAAGTGTGCAGCGTTAGTTTTATGTTGATAAGCATGGCAAAAATAATGTTTTCTGAAGAATGAAAGACACGATACTTTTTTAGGTTTGTTTGAGATATGATACACAAAAGAGTCAATGCTTTTCAGGTATTTTCTCGAAAAAAACAATAGAAATGAATAAGAGTAAAACACCAGGTTTACTCTTTTGTATCTGCGTTCATATGAGTGAATTGATTATGAAATTTTTTATGGGTCATGTACTGTGAAACTGTATTTTAAAGCGTTCTCGAAATAAACTTGGTTGACTATTGTCAAGATCTTAGTCAAATCTTGCTCAGGTGAAAGTATGGTACTCTTTATTTCAACCATAGTCATCAGAAAGTCGATCATTTTTAGTAAACCACCACTTATACTTCATATATCCATATTCTTTCCATCAAAAGTGTGCTAAGGAAAAGGTTTTGTCTGATGCACAACTATCTCGTATTACTTGCATATGACAAGACATATGCGACAGTCATTATTTCACATGATCTTGGCTAATGACAGAATTCGATCTCATCAGTTTGTACTACAAAGGTAAGCTACGTATGATGCTGCTAACCATAGCGGCAGTCCCAGCCCAAAACTGGGGTAAAGATTAAGCATCATTCACTGTCCCGACAATTTAATGGCTTTTAATTTAACTTTTTTGGTTGAATCTACATAACATACATACAGCTGAATTATATTTCATCCGAAGAGCGTAAAGAACTGAACAAACTGAGATATTTTTCAATTTTTATAAGTTTATTTGAAAAAAAAGGAAGATATTTCAAATTACTTCTTACCTTTCTATCAAATGTCAAAATAAGCAAAATGTGTTGTGTTTGATATTCTCATTGCACTAGACAATTTATGTAGCACTTTAAAAATTATTGTTTTGGGATCACCATCAAACTGGAGTCATTGTCAAAAAGTATTCACTGTTAGGAACACAAAAAAAATATATTCAGCAGTGTATCAAATTATTTAAAAAGTCACAAAGTGCTAAAGATATCGGTACAAACATAACTAACGATTTATCCGTAGATGACATGCTACAGACTTTATACAGCACAATCGATTTATCGAAGGACACTGACATGTCTAGTGAAAGAAGATCAGTATGCTGGAGGTCCATTGATGAGAGGCTTAATTCCGTCTAGTGAAGATTAATTAACGAATATACCAACTATATTCTACTTAATACCAGTACGATAAGAGATGTTAATGTAACATCAAGATGATATTAATGATCATATTTTGCAAACTATGAATAATCATATATTAGTATCAGCAATGTTTCTAACATTACGCGTACGCCTTTGTTCCAAAGCGTACGGTACGCGAACTAAATTGAAAATACGCTTTGTATCAACCAACAGGAAAAGACAGAACGATAAAATCCACGAATTACCACGCTTATGTACGCGCTGCTCAAAATTCTCATTAGAAACCCTGAGTATCAGTACATGAAGAAGCGCGTTCATCGGTTACAGAGACATGAGATGAGCAAGTATATTCAATATTCGCTTAGCAAAACCAGCTAGTGAATATACCATTTATAGAGGTTATTTCCCTCATTGTTTTCTTACGGATGCGGAGCGACTGAAGTTGATACATGTCCCGTCAAAGTAGCCCAGGGCGAAGAATCTTGAAATGTGATCGCGTAGGATCATATAAGACCTTATAAGACCTTGTAAGATCATATTACAAGATACGATAAGATTTTGTAAGATCATGCAAGACCGTGTGATAAGATCTTGTTCGATCGTGCAAGAAGTGACAAGATCTTGAAAGATGTCACAAGATCATATAATAATTCATCAAATCTTACAAGACGATGTCTCTGGTTCTGTCCTATAGATTCCCTCTACAAAAAATCAGATCAAGATCTTACACAATCTTATAAAATCTTACGGAAAATCTCATCTTCACTTCATTTTTTACCTATGTCTTTCTACTAGCAATTTTCCACCTCTATGGAAAACTGCATTCATTGTACCTGTTCATTAAAAAGGCGTTCTTGCCGATATCTCCAACTATCGTCCTATTTCACTTCTTTCTGTTGTTTCTAAAGTGTTTGAACGTCTAATTTATAATTTTATTTTTTCTCATCTTTCTAAACATTCTTTTTTTGTTAATAAACAGTTCGGTTTTCGCCCTAAACATTCCACTCTGGATGCTTTGTTGTTTTTATTTTCAACCGTCTTTGACTTTTGGAATGCTGGTGTGAAGTGTGTTGGTGTGTCTTTTGATTTTTCTAAAGCGTTTGACTCTCTGTTCCTCATTCTCTTTTGTTAAAAAAATGATCTCGTTGTGGTGTGCGTGATTCTTTGTTGTCTCTTCTATCTTCTTATCTCTCGAACAGTTGACAGTTCGTTTTCTCTTACTGTTCTTGGTTCTGTAAACAAACTTGCTTGTTATTTCTCGCAATTTTGACTTCCGTTCTTCTATTTCTCTACTTGTGTCTCAACTTTCTCTTCCAAATCTGTTCGTCGTAAATACTTTAGACTTCTACAGTTTTCCAAAATTTATCATCGTCTAAGTCCTGTCTCTCTTTTTTATACTATTCATCGTCCTCACTACTCATCCTTGCGTCTTCATCACTCTTAATATGTTCGCATTTCATCTTCTGTTGTTGGTTCCGCAAACGGTACGTTCTTCTTTTTTTTATTCAACTATTGCTGACTGGAATAATCTTCCAGAGTCAGTTATTCGTGATTCTTCTTTATTGTCTTTCAAAACAGCTTTACTTCAGTATCTCTTCCAGTGAAATGATTGCCCGTTATGAATTTATATTTGTTCTTTTCTTTTTCTTATTTTCAAAAATTTTCTTTTCCTTTTTTTTTAACTTTTAGTGTTATTTGGCTTGAGCCATCGTTATTACAGGTCTATGACCTTTGATGACTCTCACGTTTCGTGAATAAAACAGTCTTAGTCTTAGTCTACAAAAAATCAGATCAAGATCTTACATAATCTTATAAAATCTTACGGAAAATCATAGAAACGGATTCATCTTATAAAGTTCATACAAGAATCTTACGAAATCTGATGAAATGTTACTATAAGCTCTTACATCAAGAATCAGTTTCTATATTTCTTACAGAATCTTACGAATTCTTATACCAATCTTACGAAATCAGACGGAATCGTACAAGAATCTTATAAGATCTTACAGCAAGGTTCTTTGACCTGGGCAGCTGATGTGTGAAGTCGAAAGAAGAAAAAAATCCTAAGCTTTGTTATAAGAACTATGTTATATATACTATATATGGTAGCAAAATTTCTGTGGTAAGAATGAATCACCACTTCTTATAAGATCTTGTAACAAGAAGTCGTATGATCTTGTGATAAGAACTCAATATTGGTATACGCTCTTATTGACAAGATCTTGCAAGATCATACGATTTCTTGTTACAAGATCGTATAAGATCTTAGCATTTCTTATAATCTGATCTTGTAAGACCTTACGACAAGAAGTCACAAGATTCCGCAAGCTCATACATGACCTTACGATAAGATCTTACAAGATCTTGCCAAAAGATCTTGCAGCAAGATTGTATAAGAAATCATTAGATCTTGTAAGATCTTGTAAAACGTCGTTTCACCTGGGAGCATGTAGAAAAACATATTCAGTACTTACGGTCATATCAAGATAGACGATTCGAAACCATTATTCTTGCTTGTTCATAGTATCAATATTCTGGAGAAAAGAGGTGCATGTTTCAATGCCAGCAAGATTTCATTTTAAACTTGGCTATCTAGTATTATGATGATCGACCCAACTGGCATTCATTATTCATGGACATTTTTTAACAAACTTTCGATTTAGGCAAAATATTGCCCGATGAATATCGTCAACATATCAACGAATTTAAATAAGTGCAAGTTATTCAGTAGCAAGAACGCTATTTTTCAAGGTACAACGTAATACTTCAGGTCACGTTCCATGAATTTAAGTTACAACAAACTTAAGTCGATACTAAAGATTTTTTATGAAACATGTCGAATTAAGTCAGCTGAAATAACTGTAGACTAAAAAGTATTGCCCAAACGACTTCCTTACTCTTATACTGAAAAGTACCGCTTCTTGCACTCTTATAAATGCAACCGTATTCGGCAAGTTTTAGTGACCTCTATCCTCTTTCGCAGATCGGTTGTTGTTTCGTTATCCAATAAGAGCGACAAAAACCGCAAGAACATTACTAATATGCTACTGTATTTTGTTTAATATGATTACGCGAAAAGCAATTTTAAGCAAATTAATTAATTAGTAAATTGATTATACCTGCTTATGATAAAGTGGTCTTGATTCTAAACACGAATGAAAAAGAGAATTTTGTTCTTTCGGTTTTTACTCCATTTTTCTGTTTTTCTGAGAATAAAAGGTTTAAAACTGCGTAATAAACTTTTTTGCCTCTGAGTATATATGACTCTTACACTTTTTTAGATTCTCATGGATAGGTTGAGAATCCTAGATCCTCGCCGACATGCGAATGATCAGAATAACAATGGCACTAGCGTATGTATCATAAATCTTTGACATTTATTCACTAAACCGTGCCCCGTTTTTTCGTTTACGAAGAGCGTGACAATAACAACGCACAATAACAATGGAAATTCCCCTTCTCATGATCAAGAACAACAATCTGATGCACGGCCGAAAGTTTCAAGTCTTGTATGGAAGTTTGGAGGTGAAAAAAAAAAAGTGCCAACATACACGTTCTCATCCTGTAAGTAGAAATACAAATAAACACCAAGTTTGTTCAGACGCCCAGATTCCTCCTTTTCAGCCGATCAAACACCGCCGCAACAACAACAACAACAACAACAACAGTACCATCATGAGCAGGATATAAATAGAAACGGTTCAAACAATATTCAAATCTTATCATCAAATAAAGTTCAAAATGTTCCACCAAATAATGTACTAACTTCTGCTCAAATGAAATCCCATGTAAGTTTTTATTTCAAAAAAAACCGACGAACTACGTTATATATACACAGCTGATATTCTTGTTTATTTTTTTAAGATTGATCAATTAGAAGAAAAAAATATTGATTTGAAACAAAAGTTACAAGAACAAACTGCGCAAAATGATTTACAAGAAAAAAAATTTCGAGAACTAAATAATTTGTATAACACATTGCAAAATAGGTACAAATAAATTGTAATAGTATATATTATATTCATTTGCGTCTGATTGTTTAGATTAGGTCAAGATGCACATGAACATGTGAAAGGCGAAGAAGAAAAACGTATTTGGAAACAGCGAACTGATGCTTTATCACAAATGGTTATGAGATTTTGTGATATAAAGGTACGTTTTAGAAAAAGCAAGACAAAAGACGAGCGACAAACGAAAATACTTTTATTATTTTCCCTGTTAATTGCACTTAATGTTAACCTTGGGTTCATAATGCTTCTCTTTTTTCCTCTTTAATCCAACACCCCTCCTTTTCTTATCTTCTCGTTTTGATCGAATTTTCCTCTTTTTCTGGAAGCTTTTAGCAAAGATACCAGAGTTCAAACTATTTTTATATCTGAAAGCAGTTTCAGACATATCTTTTTATCAATGCCATCATATGAAACAAAAATTTCCATCACTCGTGGTTACGGAAAACAGTAGATGAAGTCCCTGAGAGACGATAGTTAAAGCAAAGTGCTAAGGAATCAACATTCATATGTACATTGTGTAAAACGGGCGAATTAGATTGTGGAAACAAAGGATAACAGTCGATAGTAAAGAAAGATAAACATCATGAAAAAATTAAAGAGTTGAAAGAGAATCCCACTTTCGTTTCTTCAACATCTTCGTCTCATACCACAACTTTATCACAACGTTCATCTATTAATACATTCACCTTTTAAACTAGAAAAAGTTCTTTTTACTGTGTTTTTCTCAGTTTGTTACGCGTGAAATACGAAAAAAAAACTTTAAGTGGGATGAAATCATTTTTTTGAGAGCATTAAGTCACTTTGACATGTACACAACGTTGTCAGTACCGTTTTTTGGCCCAAAAAATGACTCCTCTTTTCCCCTTAAAAAAATGTTGACGTTCCTCGTTTTTCTGAAAGGACCGTTACGAAGCTAGTGTGTAACCGTAAACATCTATGTGAAGAGTTAGTCGCAGTTGTGTTATTTTTTTCTTTAAGGTTGAACAACAACAGCAGCATGAACTAAAAGATATCATGACAATATTCGAAACGAAAATTAATCAAAGTAAAAAAGCTGAACAGCAAGTATGTATTGTTTTACATTTCAGTTTTCTTGATATAGAACACACTTTCTATTTTCAGAATAAAGCTCTCATCGAATCTTTAAAATTGAAAGATCAAAAAATAAATGAATTAATGAAAGAAATAAATGAAATGGCTACAGGAAATGCTTTACGTTCAACATCGTCAATGTCAACATCCATACGTCGTATCGATTCGGCCGATGATGGTATAAATTATTATTATTTCTGTGATAAATGTAGTAAACGATTTTTGTATTAGTTTTTCCTCTAGCTGATTCAGCAAATCTTCGTCTTGAATTATGTCGTACACGAACGCGTTTGAAAGAAGCACAACGTGAATTATCGTCGCAAAACAGTCTACATTCATCAGGATTAATAAAACAGCTATCATCTACAGATATATTATCATCGGATACATTGATTAGCGGTTTAAGAAAAGATATCAATGATATGGGATGGGAAATTAAGAATTTGCAACGTTCCAAAGAATCATTTAAGCAAGATGTTGAAAAATTAGAGCGAGAATTGGCAGTTGTTGAAGCGGCAAAACAATCAGTAGATATATTTGTTTATTGATAGAAAATATTTGTATTTAAAGTATATCCGTCCATTTCAGATTGAAGATGCAAATGCGTTAATCACTCGAGAAAACAAAGAACTTCGAGCAAGTATCGATGAATTAACTGATCAAAATCGAATGGTATTGCAAAATTATCAAAATCATGTCAAAAATTATTCAATACATCAAGATGTGGTAACAAAATTGTATGATTCAGTTGCTCAAGTGGAAATAGAAAATCGTCTTTTACAAGAAAAAGTATGTTCAGTGTAATGAAATCAATATTTCTTCTCTTTTAAATGTCTAGTGTCTCTTTTCTAATTAGTATTTCTTTTCTGTAGTCCAAATACACATGTTCAAATTCAAATTTGTTTTAGTAGTGTTGAGAAAAATTGTTGTGCGTATGAAATGATCCTTTTATCATTTACCTGCATGAAACAGCGCATTAACACGCTTTTCCCTAATAGTATATCGTTGAAAAAAATTAATAAATAGCCTGTTCCCATCATGTTTAGGTTTTGCTAAAAACTTACTGTTTTGTTCAGCTAGAAATTTAGCGTTAATCTCTGATGTCGATTGTTGAACAAAAATTCTTTAACGTATTGGGTGCTTTGTTACCGTTTGTTCATTTCTGTTAACTGCATTGAAAAAAAACGATTGTAGATAAACGCTCTAGTTTAAATGAGCTTTTGGTTTAAAAAGAAGGAAAAAGAATAGTTTGATAGAAAAATTATTCAACTTGGATGAAACAAATACGTCTTCATATATTTTACTGAAGATGAGTTTTATTCCAGATAACTGTAGCTATTATCTTTTAAATAAACTAATAAGTTCCGGCTTTTCTTGCATGTTGTCATATAAATGGTGTTTAGTACGAATTAGTAGTGATGGACCGAAAAAGGTACATCAGAAACGAAAGAAGAAAAGAGAAATGACTCTGATGACTATAACGAACGAAATACGTAATTTTCTTTCGTTTCCTACAAAATTACAAAATAATGTATATTCCACTTCAGTCACGATACGAAAGAAAAGACGTAATCGGTATAGCCTTATCGAAAAGAACAGAAAATTACGCAATTCGTTTCATTTCTTTCGTTTTGTAGTATTTTGACCCATTGCTACGATTTAGAGATAGGCATGCACCAGTTATATAACTGATATTAGAGCATCCAATAAAATTGTTATAACTTGTTTAGTAAGAATTGCTCAAACATGCGGAACATTTTATTTTGTAGACAAATATTTATTCTATGTATTTGTTGAAACGAAAAAATTTTAAAGTTAATTGTGACAAAAATATGAAAATTCTTAAATGCCATAACTGTATGTGATAACTCATCGCCCCTGTTTGTGCCTCTTCAGTGATTCGTTAAAAATGCTTCTTTTTTTCAATCTTTAATTTTATCTTTTATACAAATACATAGAACAAATATTTGTCTACAAAATTAGATATTCTACATGTCTGAGCGATTCTTAATAACCGCGTTATAACAAGTTTCTTGGATGTCCCAAAAAATAGTCGAAAATAACTGGTGCATAGCTAATTAAAGACAATTTAGTGTCTGATCAAGAGTTTCTCAATATACGAGTGGGTGCTTGAAAGTATTATTTTTTCCAAACGAATACGATTTATTATTATTAATTTTGACATTTTTTTTATCCATTTAGTGTGGGTTTTTAGAAGAAAAATTGAATATTAAACAACTATCATTGGTTGATAAAAATGAAGTAGAAAAATTGGAATCTAAAAGTCGTGTATTGCAACTGCAGTATGATTATGAAACTGCTCGTCGTGAACATATTGAAGTATATAATCGTATTTATGTATTTTCATTTATCTTGATAATACGTGTTTGTGTGTGTATGTGTTTTAGCGTCAATTAAATCGTTTACAAGAAAATGTTAAACAGTTACAGTCAGAATTGCAATATGTTGAAGATAAAGCAAAACGTGCTGATGATCAACAAAAATTAGCATACCGTTTATGTCGTGATTCAAAAGAAGAATGTGAAATATTGCAATTAAAAATAATGGATTTAGAAAAACGTTTAAATTTGACAGAAAAAGATAAAGATATTGTTGAACAAGAATTATTATTATGTCAACAACGTATCAATGCTACACAATATGGTATACAACGTTATCAGGATGCTGTAATTAATGCTGAAAATGAATTAGATGCTTTATCGGATGGAAGGTGAGCTTTTTTTGTGTTTATATGTATGCGAGAAACGTAACTTTCTAGTACAATCACTTGTTTAGATATGTTTCTATAATAACTCATATTACAAGAGGCTCGCTTGAGCAAATTTTTTCCTGTGCTTTGCCTAGTACTTTACTCACTTCCACAAAAATTTTCTACTCGATACGTCCTTTCGTTGCAAAGTTATGGGACTCGAAAGTTGAAAAAACTTAATTTTCTGATGACTTATCATCTGAAAACTGAATTTTTGATTATATAAAAAGATATAAAAAGAGAAGAAAAGCAGCGCATCCTGTAGAGAATTGAATGGTCAGAGCTAAACGAAAACCATCAATACCGTACACCAGTCGACTCGTCAGACTGTGGCGATTTTGACTACCTAATTTTTGGAGCTCTAAAATCTATAGTCTTTGCTGAAATAATGGATAATTCTGAAAGTAGAATCACATAACGAAATTCGGACTTTTTAGATTTTAACACTAAAGAATGGAAAAACTTTTCTGCGGTTTTTCGGCTGACGCATTTGCTCACAGTCCCACTGTACTGCTCGAATCATTCTCTGTCGAACGATGTAGAATACATCTATTTCAACCCTTTTTCTAGCAAAATCCTGCCAAAAATTCTCTATGGCAAAAACTGAAAATTGTTTCCCTCCTAACTCAGCCAGTATGAGTCTGACAGTTGGGAAATTTGTATAGGATACTCAGCAAAGACCAGGGAACAAAACGTACCATTCAAATTTTTTTAATGAACACTTTCATTTTTTTTTATCGATTGTACCAGAAAGTTACGTTTCTCTCGTATACATACATAAAAACTGAATTGTATCCTTTGAATATTTAGCTTTGATGAAGATGTTGGAAGTTTAAATGGTGGAGAAACGATATTGGTGAAGGAACGTACGTCACATAATGTTATTCGTTCACAAAGCGAAGTGTAAAGTATGATAAATAAGTATGTGTCTGTCTATTTTAATATGCTTGAGTACTTCAATCGAAACCGTCAAGGTAAAATCTTGGCATATCAAATAAACGGTTTTATTCTTAGTTAATCAAAGAACAAATCTTACGCATTATGTCAAAAACAGGTATTTTATCTTCACCTTTTTCTTTTACGTAGTTATTTAGGGGATATTTTTCCTGTTTCTGATGTAATTTTTTTTTCTCAATAAATTGAGCAAGTGTAGTTAGAACTTTTCTATTCTGTAAACTTAAGATTTTTTCTTCTACAAAAAAAAACAACCAAATTCCATTTTGTCTTTCTCACTACATATACTTTTCTTTAAATTCTACAGTACAAATACTATCTCTCAACTTTTGTAAATAAAAAAAGAGTTTTTTTGAACGTTTTTCTATATATAAGTGACATTTTTTTGCTTTTACTGAAAAGCGATATTTTACCGATGAAATATAAAACATTAGAGTGCGCTCAAAGAATTTCTTATGAAACAAGATGATCTTCCATTTTTGAACAGTTTGTTACTTTTTTTTTGTTTGTGTTTTTTTGCTTCTTCAAATACATCAACGATCTTCTTTAGTATTGAAAAACTCGTTTTTTATTCTCGAACATAGCATGTTTCTATGCATTCCATTGTGTTAAACATTTTTCAAAATCAATCTATTATTAGTATGAATAGATTGCGCATCCGTGCTTGTGTAATTTCTTTTTGTTCTTATTTAATAATCTCTCTCTTGGGTATTTCTTTTTCTAAATAAGTAATTTTTTTTCCCCTTTAAGATGGAACAAATTCTTGTGAAAAAAAGAAAAATGGCTATGATGTGTGGTTATTTGTATTTTTAATTTGTTGTTGTGATTCTTCTGAACTCAATCAATATTTTTATGTAAATTTAATAAGCCTTATTTCACTCGTTTACTCTCGTTTCTGGAGCATTTAATAAAATCCATTTGTTCCTTTTTTTTTGTTTGTTTTTTTATCTGATCGATCAATTCTAATATTTGTTTCTTTTTTAACATATCCTCTGTTCCATTTAATAGTCTATATAATAAATTTACGTATATATTACGAATAGATAATATACACTTTATATTCAATGGTGACTGGTATATCTAAATAGTGACCTTCACAAAGTGTAATTTGTCCGAGATTTTAGTTTTAGAATTCTGAACAGTTAAAATATTTTTTTGCATATCTGAATTAAATTCGTATCTATGAAGATGAAAAGATGTTCACTGCTTTTTATCAGTTCAATGTCAATAAAGGTGTTTATCTATTTCATGTTATTTAGTTTTAGATATGATGTCGCCATACATATGACTAATTCTGATTTACGTTTTTCAACAATATTAGAACAATTTACAAATGAACTTCAAAGTTCAAATGATGAAGTTCGACGAAAAGCAACGGACGGGTTATACGATCGTGTCATAACACTCTATTCCGATGTATGGTCTAATGAAACTAATCAAATGATTAATAAAATCGCCTCTATTCTTAATTTTTCGTTTTTCTATCTATGTATTAGGCATCACCTGAAACAATATCGAGTGTTGTTGATATTGTACACGATTATGTAAGAAAAAAATTAAACAATGCAAATAATGTGAACGAAAATAAAGCAGCACTTCTTGTAATATGTATGTAATCGTTATATTTCGTTGTTTTTTTACAAAACTGTTAAAGTTAATGAAGTAAGTTCATTCATTTTAGTATGTTTTGTTTGTGCTGGTGCAGCATTTTATGCTAAACTAAGTAATAAATTAGAAGGCGTTATTCGACAATATAAGCAAATGTCATTAGATACAGATTTGTGCGATTTAGTTGTAAAAATTACGTGTATACTGATTAAAGTAAGAAGATGTTGTTTAAATAAATAAGAAAAAAGACATGTATTATTCTCTCTGCATTCAAAGGGTTGTGATCGTTCCAATGTTGATCATTTTCAATTTGATTTACCAAAAGCAGTTGAACGTTTAGGACAAGATGAAAAACATGAAATAAGACGCTATAGTGGGGTATGTTCATTGATAATTGAAGAAACTGAAAGATAATTTATTTTCAATTTAGGTTATTATGTTAAAAGAAATTGCTTTGATATCACCAACAAGATTTTTTCTTTTGATAAAACCGTGTGAACAGTTTTTTGAACAATTATTTGTGTCAATGACAGATCCTAAAGTAGGTGATTTTAAACAATTAAATTATTCAACTATAAAAAAACCAAAGATATCGTATATTTTAGCAATATATTCGTGAAGCATTTGCTGAAACGATACATGCAACATTAGTCGTATTAATTGATCGTGAACGTGAAGAGCAAAAAAACGATATTAGAAAGGATACACAAATAACTACATTTTATAATGCTTATAAGGTATGAAAATATGAAAGGGAAAATAATCTATTATTTCTAGTATTATTCGTTTTATCAATTAGATTGTCTATAAAGAAGCAATGAAATGTTTAGAAGATACACAATCAAAAGAGAAAACAATTCAGAAAGATGATCGTATCCACGGTGGATTATTATTGTTAAACGAACTTTTTCGTGTAGCTGATCTTAAATTTGAAGTATGTTTTAATGCTACTTCTGGCATCTTGAAATATAAAATCATTTTCCTTTTATTATATCTTAGAATATTTGTCAAGATTCAATTTATCCATATACAACAGTTATACCCAAACCAGTGTCGTATAAAGTAAGAAAAATGCTTAAAATATGTTGGTATAAACTATTTATTAAATAAAGTATTTCACCATATCTGCACTAAATCGTAGAAACCATTATATAGATACAGAAGAGGTTTTCATGTAGTTAAAAAAGAAAATCCATCAAAGTGAGCAATAAGAAAACGAAACAAATAAAAAACTAAAAAGATGTTAAAATGCAGATGTTTCAGAAAGAAATGACCCTATGATTTTATATTGAAACGTTTAGATTCGATGATATAGTTTAAGACGCATCGATCTACAAATTCGAAATGTTCTCTACATAGTATCACGTTGAGTAGAAGTAGATCGAACGTAATAGGAACAGGTAAATTCACTGTAGTAATAGCTTCAAATAGTGTTAGACGAGCAGTATCATAGATAGGACAAAGTAATAAGTAGTGATGTACAGTTTCCTTTGTACGGCATGCACATTTATCTGTCTTTTTTGGATCATCATCAGATAAATAGTCTAATAAATGACGATGGTACAAGTTATAATTTAACGTAGTAAACCTAGTTCGCATTTGTGCGAAAACAACGTCAGCTGTTCTTAGTGTATTACGTATTCGAAATGTTGGAACAACAAACTGGAATTTCTATTTTGAAAAATTTCTTTTAAAACATCTAGGATGTTGAGATTTGGTTAGTTCATGAAGTAGGGTGTTCTAAATCCGTACGGATGATGGAAAGAAAGTTTTCATAAAATTTGCTGAACGTATAGATGAGTTACTTAAAGTAATTTTAACATTATTAGACCGCAGATCATATTGAGGATTATTAGAAAAATGGATTTTATTAGACAGAAATATTGGCGCATGACCATATAAAATCTACTACAGTAATACTATTTTATGATATTCAAAAGTATCAATAATACTTCTCCATCCAAGGACAGCAAGCATTTCAGTTCGATTACAGCCCTATATAGCCCCTGAGACAATATGTGCAGCTTTACATTGTAAATGATATAAAATGGATTTGATATGTAGGCGCAGATGATAGAATTGATGACGCATATGACAGAATAGGTAAAACAAATGACTTGTATATTTGTCAAGAATGGCTGTACTAAAGACATGTTTATACGATGCCATCAAACCTATAATGCAAAACAACTTGGAAGTCACATATTTTATATATGTATCCTAAGGAAGGTTTGATGTCAGGTAAACACCTAAGTATTTGTCATTATTCACATTCTTTAAGACGTGGTTTGAAATAGTTAAGCATATAGAAAAAGAAATATTTCTTTTCCCAAATGACATACTAACACACTTGGGACGATTAAGAGGCAACATCCAAAAGTTGGACCATTCCTCAACTTTTTTAAGATACTCATTTAATACTTTCGTTACTATATCGTCATCATTATCGGAAAAATGAAATATGTTAATCGTCGATTATCACAGTTTATTTTCAAGATTAATCGTAAACCAATGTTTGCTCTGTGCACGCGATTTTTTGTTCCTATGAAAGAGAGAGAGAGAGAGAGAGAGACATAGTTTACGTACATAATTACTTAAACGTTTTTATTGTCTATTTATATCTGTGGATCATTATTTCCTCAAAGTATTTTGACTGTTTTTGACTAAAATTCAGAAGTATTGTCCAAAAAAATTTATTACTGCTTACTACTCCTTGTTTTTATTTCACGCGTTTCTCTTTAAGTTTTTTTTCTGTTTTTCTTTTTAAGGATCTTCATCGTGCTCGTGTTGCCCTATCATTTGAGCGTACTGCACCCATATCACCGTTGGATTTTATTAATAATCAAGATAATCAACATACTCAAGTACAGTCGTTATTAATTCGTCAATTATTATTGGATAATTTTAAAGAAATATGTACATTTGTTTTTCGACATCGTACAAATACAAAACCAATGATAATTAATATTTTACTAAAACTGTTACCTCGTTTATCATCATTAGATTTTAGAACATATCATCTGCAAGGATATTTGGAAACAACCATGCGATTTATGCTAGATTGTTTACAGTTAAAAGACATGAAAGATCGTAGTTTAGTGTATCATGCCATCGGATTGATGATATTATCTGATAAAAGTGATCAACCGTTATTATTAACCGGATCTTTTAATACTATCTTGCAAAGTATAAAGTCAACCTTTAAACCAGTAACAACAGCAACGAGTACTCATCAGTCAACATCATTATCCTTGTCTCGTCGAGTATCATCAGCTGTTAATAATTCATATGCTTCGCAATCGTCTTCCACATCGTCGTCAACATCACTATTTCCATGTAAATACCAATCACCTGATTCATCGGTATTCGCTTGTATTACAATGATTGGAGAATCTGGACCAGAATCATCACAATATCTTGATCAATTACTCGAATATTTATTACAATGTGAACTAAATCATAGTCTACTATTCTGTTTGGATAAACTTTGTAATATGCCATTGATTCGTTTGGGTATGTAATACTCATTTTTTTTACTCGTATAAAATCGCTGATAATGACACATAAACTTGTTTTCATATTTTAGAAACAAAGAGATCGATTCAGCAAGGTCTATTAAAAATCATTCAATCAATTTTAACAAATCCAGTATCATTTGGAGTTTCACAACATTCAACATTTCAATTGTCAAATGAACAAATAGAAACGATTCAAATATCATTACAAACATTACGTATATTTGAATTTGAAGCACAAGCTGTTAAACCATTTTTATTTATATTAAAACACCGTTATATCGAACATGAGCATCGACGTATTCGTATTGAATCAATCATTACCATTACTCATTTATTAAAAAAATTGCTACTTCAACAACAACAAGCTATTATGACTAATGCAGGAACCTCAAATGAATTACGTCTTTCAGTTGGTGATATTACACATCGCATTCTAACTATTGGCGTAACAGATCTTGATCCAGATGTACGTTATAATGTTTTTCTAACATTACAAGATGATTTTAAACAATTTTTAGCTAAATCTGATAGTCTAGAATTATTGTTTTTTTCTGTACACGATGAATGTCATGAAATTAGAGAGTTATCATTGAGTTTAATAGGACGATTAAGTAATATTAATCCAGCTTATGTATTACCACCATTGAGACACTTACTATTACAGTTATTAACTGAATTAGAAATTGGATGCACATTATCTGGCAAAGAACAAGCATCAAGATTATTAGGTCAACTAATAGCTAATACACCAAGAATTGTACGACCCTATATGCAATCAATTACTCAGGTATCATCTAACATGAATTAAAATTACTGATTCATGATAATTTTTTCTTATTTTTAAAAGGCATTATTACCTTTAATCAGACAACATGAGCAACATTCAAATGTTTTAATTGCACTTGTGCGGACTGTGGGAGAACAAGCTCAAGTATGCGGTATCGATTTTGATGAACGTATACATGAATTATTTCCTATCTTAATCAATATGATGCAAGATACATCGAACTATCGTAAACGAGAAGTGGCTCTATGGACAATAGGACAAATTGTTGAAAGTATGTTCTTACTTAAGGATTGTATCATTTTATTATTTTATTATGTTTTCGTCTCTAGGTTGTTGTTATGTCGTTGAACCGTTGCAAAAATATCCTATACTACTTGAAGTATTATTGAACTTTTTGAAATCAGAAGTACCCATCCCTTTTCGTCGTGAGACTATACGTGTATTAGGCTTTCTAGGAGCTGTTGATCCTTATAATATTCGTACAAATCTTGGAAATGTACGAGGGATAACATATGATATGAATGATATAACAAGTACACATCGTGTAAGAGCTGAGGCAGATCCAGTGGAAATATCATCAAATGAATTGTTAGTAGCATCTGGTTCACAATCATTACATGATTTTTATACATCAATGGCAATTTATGTTTGTTTACGAGTATTAAAAGATCCAAATTCAACACAATTACACTATAAAGCTGTTCAAAGTATATCGATTATATTACAATGGCTTGGAGCTAAATGTACACAATATGTACCATTAGTAATACCAAGATTATTACAAATTATAGGAAATGCTGATGAAAAAAACTTAGAAGTAAGTATTCTATTATTACACACATATAATCGATTGAAGTTTTTACTAGTGTTTTAATAAGACGTAAAATGAAGTAGATTCAAAATTAAAAAGAAAATTTGAAGAAAATCATATGACAATTAGGAGCTGTATATGCAGCTAGCGTAGGATAATGTCAGAAAAACATTACTGTAATAAGCAAGCAGAGACAATATATTGAAAATATTCTTTCTTGTTATTTAAGGCGTATATTCGCCAAATCAATATAATAATAATATCGATTAAAAATGCCATTATTCCTTATGTAAATGAAATCATACAATTAATTCGTGATCATTGGGATCAACATGTGAATTTACAAATATTGTTAATTCAAACAATTGAAAGTTTATCTCAAGCATTGAACGATGAATTTCGTCATTATATTCATTTATTATTACATTTTGTTATGAACACATTTCGTATGGATCAAAATGATGAACGTCGACATCGTGTTTTATCTCAAATGTTTATTACACTGAATAAATTTGGTAAAACATTAAAACCCCATTTCAATGTTGTGTTACCATCTATCTTGGAAATAGCATCATCACCATTAAATTCCATACAATTACGTCGTGAAGCACTTGATGTAATCGAGTTATTAGCTGAAAAAGTTCATTTGAGTGATTATGTATCAGCTATATTGCAAATATTACTGCGTATCATTCGAACAACACAGCAATTACAAGTCAAATCATTAGATATTATATGTATTATAGCAAAACAAATGAAAAAACGTTTTCTTGTATTCGATGCATTAATACAAAACACAATGAACGAATTGAAATTAACACATTCAAAATATGAACTTTTTATATCAAAATTAAATGATTCATCGTTTGCCGATGTTCAGTCAGAGTCAACCATTTCAGCTTTGATATCTTCAACTGTTACATCACCACAAACTGGCGATCCGGATCAGATTCAACGTGACGCCAAAGCAATTTATAGTATGCGTACTGATCAATTACGTCCACATTGGCTGAGTGTTCAAGTTCAACATCAATCAAATAGTAAAGATTTACATGTATGGTTAAGTAAATTACAACAATTAGTTTTAGAGCAATCACCCGTTTATCCGTTAAGAGCAATGGGTTCTCGTTTAGCAAGTAGTAATTCATCGATATTAAGAGATATGTTTAATGCGGCATTTATTTCTTGTTGGAAAAAATTAAATTATCATGATCGAAAAAGTTTAACATTATCATTGACACATGTTTTATCTATGTGTGATAAACCCGATATAATACAAACAATATTAAATTTAGCCGAATTTAGAAATCATTGTGATTTAAAATTAAAATTGGAAAAACAAGAATTAGTAGAAAATACAACGATACAAGATCAGACAAGACCAGATCAAGGAGGCGATGCCGATGAAACAACACAAGATGATGATTCAACGTTAACAGTAGAAGAACGAGATAAACGTCGAAAACTGAAAAAAACAACAGAGACACACATGGATGATGAAGAAGAAAAATCTCTGATCAATATTCATTTATTAAGTGAAAAAGCGCATAGTGTACGCGCCTACGCTAAAGCATTACGATATAAAGAAGAAGAATTTCAACATTCAGAACATTTAACACATCCCACTCAAATAACATCGGATATTGTTGAATCATTAATTAGTATTAATCATGAACTTCAACAATCTGAGGCAGCCTATGGCGCATTATTATACGCCAAAAAACATAATATTAAAATAAAAGGTTTATGGTACGAAAAATTAAATCAGTGGGAAAAAGCTTTGAGAAATTATGATTATATAAAAACCAATAATCCCAATAATATGGATATACATTTGGGACGTATGAGATGTATGCAAGCTCTTGGTAGTTGGTCAGAATTAAGAGAGTTATGTACCAATGTTTGGGAGCAAACAGAAAACATTAAAGATGAACAACCACTGGCCACATTACCATTTTCTACTAATTTACTACAAAATGAAGCAATTCGACACATGGGTAATATTGGTAACAATTCAAATACATCAATTATTAATGGGCGAGAACTGAGGAAAATATTACAACAAAAAATAGCCCCGATGGCAACACGTGCTGCATGGAGTTTAGGAGATACGAGTGATATGGAAAAATATTTTATACATATACCGGATACGAAATTTGAAGGTGCTTTTTATCGAGCAGTCGATGCAATTAGAAATGATAATTTTCGTCAAGCACAGGATGCCATTGATTTAGCCAGAGAACTACTTGATGTTGAATTAACAACACTAGCCAATGAGAGTTATAATCGGGCATATTCAGGTTTGTTATTTTTTAATAGTAAATTGTCGAGTTAGTATGAACTTTTAATCTTCATTATCCTACGTTTTATATCTTTTTCTCTGTAGCCATGATCAATGCACAACTACTATCGGAATTAGAAGAGGTTTCATATTTTAAAACATTACCTGAACGACGACAATCTATTTGTGATATATGGCAGAAACGTATGAGTGGAAATCAACCAATTATTGATGATTATCATCGGCTGTTATTGACACATTCACTTGTTTTACCCATGGAACAAGATCTTCAGTCATGGATTAAACTTGCAAATCTTTGCTGTAAATCAAATCGTTTAACAATGGCTGACTTTATATTTAAAGCCTTAGCTAAAACCGTGCTCGTTGACACCGGTAATCAAACACAATATATTCATTTACACTCAGGTAAGTTCAGTTTGGAAGAAGGTTAAAAAAGAGTCGAATTATGAGACGGCAATAATCTCTATTCAGAACTACGGTGTGTATACACTTCTACACTGTTCCAAGTTCTCGAGTAATTTCTACAGAGAAAATCTAGCTCCATCGACTGTATAGCCAGGCGGTTATTCACCTGATGGATCTAGCTAAATGTACGTTTTATCTGGTTAGCTATCTCCAACCTAGTATTGAACCGAGAACTAGGTTATCATAATTGGGAAGGAGCGGCAGGTTGACTTCTAGATTAATCATCCATTTAAACAACCAATTAAATTAGATCCTAAGATGAAATATGGTTGATAAAAGAAAAGTTATTAAGTAGATTAACCGTAACAAGAATTTAAGGATAAACTGCTTATATTAACCATATATTTATTAATAGTCAAACATTTTGTCAATGACAGACTAATAAGAAAAGTACTTAAAAATAATACAAATTAGCAAACATCTATCAGAAATATAAATAATAAGAAATACTTTTAAAACAAAGAAATTAAAATTACATAAGATTTCTCTGCTTATCAAATTCTATTTTCTACTAGTTTTCGTGGTTTTAGGTTGTGAGATGTAGAGTCATTGTATTGATTAATATGGTTTAATTTATAATTAAAGATCTCATAGGATATCCGATTGTGTATTGTAGGTTGCCCTCTGGCGTACGGCATATTTATGTTATCTATAAACTTGCGTGTAAACTCTTGATCAAAATGATTTTTGTTCATTAAATCGTTAATTAAACTTTGCAATTCGTTATGAGTAGCTTCAGATGAATCATCTTATATGCATCGGAATTCAACTAAATTCCAAACTAAGGGTAAATGTTTGATATTGACTTTACTCGTATTTAATTGGTCTTCAATCAAGACTAATTGTTTTTCGAATTTGAAATGTTCACATAGTTCTTCCTAATTGTACCATTAACCGTAACAACAACCTCCTTGTATTAAACGTATTTTACATCTGAAACTAGTACTGCATGGTTGGAGCTAGTTCTGTAATAGCCAACTTAGTCGGTCGATTGAGTGAGGCGATACTCTCCCCAACCATCCTAAAGTAGATTTGAATCGTCTAGTTCTAGGTCAAATTTGTTGAGGTAGAACTAGCTTAATCGAGTAGAAAACCGTGTTACCTTACTCCAATCGCTCGATTCTAGCTCCATTTTTTTTGCTTGTATTTTTTGAGTTGTATTGAACTGAACGTCGCTGCTCCGATTAGATTAATGCGTATAAACTGATAAACAGTGTTTTGCGCACTAACAATAACATTATTTTAGCGATGAATAAGGATCCATCAACATTTTATCCTTCATCAGTACATCCGTCTCAAACATCACATCTTTATAATCTTCAAACAGCGGCAGGTTTTGGTCAACAACAGCAACAACAATTTCATCATCCATCATTAATTGATCAACAATTAGTTAAATATGAAAAATTGAAATATGACTGGAATTGTTTACTGGCCAATCGTGATCACATAATAATGATGAATAAAAAACCAGATGTTACACAATCCACTACATCAACCACAACAATGGCACCGAATTTATTGGAAGTAAATAGGCAAGATCAACTAAAATTAATTGATGACTTGAAAGATACATTAAATAAAGTATGTTTACCAGCATTGGATCAACTAAGAAAGCAAACAGCAACAGTAACCTCTACGGGAAATATCATAGTCACGAACGGTGCAACAACAGGAGCATCAACAGCAGCTGGAAGCGTCGCAGGTCCCATTGGTCAAATATCACAAATCAGCGTAAGTGTTGGAATATTGTTGTTGATCGTTTTCTTTTCATTCATAAAAATTGCATTCTCTTTTCTCTTCTTTTCCTAGAATACAATTTCACAAGGCTCGACAACACATTCATCCGTATATGTTTTAACATCCAATTTATCGTCAGGAACGTTAGCAGTATCACATCGTGAACAACGTTTACGTCATTTAATATCAAAATGTTATTTGCGTTTGGGCGCATGGCAACAGGAATTTTTTGGTATGGATGATGGATCGTTAAATGAAATAATGAAAAATTTTGAACATGCATGGACATACGATGAAAATAGTTATAAAGCATGGAACGCGTATGCCGTACTAAACTATGATGCGGTTAATTATTTCAAACAACGTATTCAAGAGTTATCACGTACGCAGCCATTAACAATACCAAGGTCTCCACCATCCCCAGGTGTTGATGGAACAGTTAGTTCTCATTTTACTACACCACCTTCTTTTCCTCTTCCACATGAGTCTTCGCCCACAGGATCGCCATTATCTTCACCACAAATATTGCCACCTACAAATGATTTATATCGTCAATTGACGGCAAGAATGATTCATTGTACAATACCAGCTGTTAAAGGTTTATTAAGATCAATTGTATTGTCAAAAACAAAACATTGTTTACAGAATACATTACGTTTATTAACATTGTGGTTTGAATACGGACAATATCGAGAAGTTCATGATGCACTAGGAGAAGGTATAAAAACAGTACCGATTGAAGTTTGGTTACAAGTGTTACCACAATTAATAGCACGTATCGACTCACCACGACAGTTAGTAAATCAATCAATCAAACATTTATTAATTGATGTTGGGAGACAGCATCCACAAGCATTAATTTATCCACTGGTTGTCGCGTCAAAATCAGTGACACGTGAACGTGAACAAGCGGCAAATAGAGTATTAAATTCAATGAGAGAACATAGTCATACACTTGTACAACACGCACTATTAGTTAGCGAAGAACTGATTAGAATATCGATATTATGGCATGAACGATGGCACGAAGCACTCGAAGAAGCATCTCGACAATATTTTGGAGAACGTAGTATTTCAGGTAAAGCAGAGTTTGATTGGTCTTAAATGTTGTATTCAAGGATAGGGCGCTTCTGTTTTGTTGTTTAATTTCAGTATTCATGACAATGTTTCTAGGTATGATTGAGACGCTGGATCCGTTACATGCAGCCATTGAACGTGGTAGTACAACATTAAATGAACGTACATTCTTAGACTCATATGGTACAGATTTGGCACAAGCAAGGGAATGTATAAAACGTTATCAACGTACAAAAGATCAACGTGAACTACATCAAGCATGGGATTTATATCATCAAGTATTCAAACGTATTCACACACAACTACCAAACATAACCTCTCTGGAATTAGAATATGTGTCGCCACGTATGTTCAAACATCTTTTATTAGGTTTTTTATTCTTTTTATTTTTGTTTTGTTGTATAGGACTTGGAACACATTGTCGAGATCTAGAATTAGCTGTGCCGGGAACATATGAACCAGAAAGACAGCCCATAACGATTCGTAGTGTTCATAGTCATATTGCCGTTATACCATCAAAACAACGTCCAAGAAAAATTAGTATAACGGGCTCAGATGGTTATGAATATGTATTTTTGTTAAAAGGACATGAAGATTTAAGACAAGATGAACGGGTTATGCAATTATTTGGCTTAGTAAATGAATTTTTATCATCAAATGATGAGACACGTCGACGTAATTTTACTATACAACGTTATTCTGTTATCCCACTAGCACCTAACAATGGCTTGTTAGGATGGGTAGCTCAATGTGATACATTTCATGCTCTAATCAAAGAACATCGTGAAAGGTCTCAAGTGGTACTTAATGCTGAATATCGTCATATGCAAACAAAAGCACCACATTTTGATCATTTACCATTGATTAATAAAGTTGAGGTATTTGAATATGCATTAAATTTGTTGGAAGGTGATGATTTAGCGAAAATATTATGGCATAAAAGTTCAAGTGCAGAAATTTGGTTGGATCGACGTTCAAATTATACTCGTTCGTTAGCTGTTATGTCAATGGTTAGTATTATATTTCGTTCAAAACTTTAGATAGATAATGCTCTGCTTCAATATAAAATATGGTCGATTTCTTTTAGGTTGGTTATATTCTTGGCCTAGGCGATCGTCATCCATCAAATTTGATGCTTGATCGTGCTAGTGGTAAAGTCGTTCACATTGATTTTGGTGATTGTTTTGAATTAGCCATGACACGCGAAAAGTTTCCAGAAAAAATTCCATTTCGTTTAACACGAATGTTATGCCTGGCTATGGAAGTGACAGGAATCGATGGTACATTTCGTTTAACATGTGAACATGTTATGGATGTCCTACGAAAAAATCGTGATAGTCTAATGGCTGTATTAGAGGCATTTGTACATGATCCCTTATTAAACTGGAGATTATTAGACGATAACAACCCTTTGAATAATCAACCGACATCTAATGTTGGTGTGGTGGGAAGTAGAACGACACCAGCTGTAAGTACTAGCAGCGGAGTAGGACTTCCACAGTCAGCATTAACTAATAATCCTACTGTTCATTTTCAACCACATTTATCAACGGTGAACGAAGAAGAGGTTGAATGTGATCATATTCAACAACAACAACAAACCCAACAACCCGGTCGATCAATACGTGCAGTTGAAATAATGTGTCGTGTTAAAGAAAAATTAACCGGTAATGATTTTCATCGTGATCAACCCGTCGATATATCTACCCAAGTCGAATTACTTATTAAGCAGGCAACATCGTATGAAAACTTATGTCAATGTTATATTGGATGGTGCCCATTTTGGTAATGAATATCAAAATTTGTTCAATTGTTTAAATATTGTGTTTGTCTTTTATTTTTTGTGAGTGCATGTACGTCTATGTCTTTTCATATGTGTTTTTTTAATACGATAACTTAACATATGTTTTATATATGAATGATTAAGTATCTTTATTACTTCTCGTCTTTTGTTTTATATTCTAGATGAGAGGAGTTTTTCTCGCGTTTTTTATACTGTGATTCAAATTTTGTTTTCTTTGTATGTTATTACTACTTTTCAAAAAAGGAATTGCAGTCGTTTTTTGTTCTTTCTGAAAGCTATTTTATAAAACATGAGAATTAAAATCATATGTATGTACCATTTCCCATATAACGGAAGAACCAAAAAGAAGCTCAAGAGTTTTGTCCTCAGACATAGTTCCTTTTTCTAGCAGAACAAATATTCTCCACAAAATTAATCTCTTTTTCTTTGTTGCCGTTGTCAGTTCTTCAGTTCTAACGTCATCTTTCCTTTCAGGCGAATAGATAGTGCAAAATCAGTAGCTCTCCAGAATAAACTGCAAGCGGCAGCTGCAAAGAATAGTTGAACATATGTTCTCATTTAGTGTGAGAAGGATTTGCTTTGTCTATAAGACTGAAAAAAAAGATGCTGAAGTGATTTAAACTTTCAAATGTTTTGTATAGAATCTGCTTTTATGAATGTACTGTGGTAACGTTTGTTACAGCTATTAGTAATACAATGAACTGTTGCTTGTATCAGCGGTGTTTTTGATAGAATGGTGGACAACGAATTTTCTTGTGGAACATTGAATTCCACGATGCTTTCTAACGTGATTTTAAAGTATCCTCGCGGCATCATGCTATACTTCGTTTACTATCATGCTGGAAGTGTTCACTGTGTTGTTGATTCCACAGTAATGAAAATTTCCATTAAAAACACTGACTATCAATACATGAACCTACGAGGATCCTGAGTTGAAATCATTCAGCGATGCAGTTTTATGGAACAACTACCAGATAACTATCAGAAGTCGAAGCGAGTCCAATTTTTCCAGATTATGTATGAATTGATTTAGGATTGACTCAAATAAAACGTTTTCTATATATTTTGAATATTTTTCTTTCGTCTCATGTGTTAGGTCGAAATCAAAATGCTTAAGTTCAGGAAAATACGAGCGTTACCGTATGAACATGGTTTATCTAACGTCATCTTTAATCTTTTATATGAATGAAATAAAGTATTGATGTTTTTTTAGCTAAATCGAATATTTTCTAACATTTAGTCGTTCCATGTTTACTTGAATTATTCAGTAGTTCGTAGTTCTGTTTTAGATGTGTCGGTTGAATGGCAAGTACTAGATGTAGAAGGAGAAAGTTCACTATATGTAACTGGTACAGATATATGAAAATATAATAGATTTTAACTAGAAAACTGATAGAAATGTCCAGTAAACAAAAAAACACAATTCCATTCTTCGTAGTCAGAAGCTACCTGCCAAAGATGGCCGCCGGTAATAATATTTTTTTCTTCCTTCTCTCTTTTCGTTTAATAAAAATTCAACTAATATCTGTATAACCCATTAAATATATGCATTCTGTTTTCTATCTGACATATACACATAATTTTCTTCTTTTGGTTGGTTTTCCCTGATCATGAAGATTTTTAAGCGTTTTTTATCTATAGTTTGTGGAGGTTGCCTTTCTCGTATTATGGGCCAGCTCAAGTGCTAGTTACTTTTCCTATCAAAAATATATATTCAAAAAACGTGTCGATTAAAATCGAAATTTATGTTGATATTTGTTATTTTCTTGTATTTTATCGAGTAAAATCATATAGAACTACTATCGAAACGGAAAGGTCGTGCCGGTTGCCGTTTTTCAAATAACTTTTTAACGAAAGGTCTTAGCGGCCTGCGGTTTTCACCATCGTATAGAGGACACTTAAAGCCATATTTTTATAAG